AACTGGGAACCAACCTCCTGCAGAGCGGGAACCAACGTCCTGCAGAGGGGGAACCAACGTCCTGCAGAGGCCGCGTCTCCATTGCTGCCTTGGAGGAATTTCCTTTCCTATCGACCCTTGCTTGGCTAGAAAAGTGATGTTATCCGGGGTGGGGTGTGAATTTCGGTGGCCCCGCCTATCAGACGCTATCAGATGAGTTGGGACACCACATGGGAGGTTATGGCAGCATTCCCCTGGTAAGGGTGAAGTGCAAGGGGATGGGGTCATGACCAGGGCTAGGAGCCAGCACAGTGGTAGCTATGAACTGGCCATCCATTTGTTCTCCATCCATGTGTCTCAGCACTTCCTGGGCTTCGTCCAGACTCTCAAACTCCACACAGGCCGAGCCAGCCGTTGGAGAGAGAGGAGAAACAGCCTGTCGTCATTTGAGTCTTCCCGCAGGTGGAAGAGATCTCCACGGTGTGGTTCTTGGTCACATTCCTGGTGAGATTCCCAGTGTGCGCCTTAGTGGGTCTAGGGACCGCATCTGCCGGTTCCTCTCCTTTCGTCTTTTAGGTTAGGATTCGGGGCGCGAGCGCCACCTGCTGTCGCGTCTGCGTCGGGAAGGGCTCGGGGAGCCGGAGGAGCCTCGGCTGGAGCTGGAGCGGCGGGAGGGGTTGGAGTAGGCCTGGAGCGCTGCTACCGCCGGAAGAGCTGCGGTGCTCTCGCGCCGTGTGGGGGCCCGGGCTTTCTCGCTGGGTTCCTCGGAGGCGCTCTTACCAGCAGAGCCAGCCATCTGCCTTTGGTCGGGGAAGGAGCCCTCTTCCCGGCCGCCTCTTCCCGCGCTCCCACGCTCCTCAGCCTCAGAGCTAAGGAGCAGGGAAAGGCCAAAGCTTTTAAATATTGATGAGTGAGGGTTTTTTCACAGCTGTTTCTTTTAAAACAGCAAAAGGCAGATTTTCTTTCACAGGTCCCTTCTGGAATTTGGATTTTTCTCACAGTGTTAATCCTAACCTTCATTTCCATCCAAACTGGACATTCTAGCAATATTAGAGATTCTACAAAGCCCAACGGTGTTATTTGGGAATAGCAAGCCTCGCAGAGGGTATACCTGTGCCATGAGCGTGTTCAAAGGGGTTGACGCCTGGAAGACTTTTAAAGATACAAAGGTGGAGGATTGTAAAAGGTATTGTGGGGGCCGGTGCCGTGGCTCACTTGGTTAATCCTCCACCTGCGGGGCCGGGATACCTTGTAGGCGCCGGGTTCTAGTCCCGGCTGCTCCTCTTCCAATCCAGCTCTCTGCTGTGGCCTGGGAAGGCAGTGGAGGATGGCCCAAGTGCTTGGGCCCTGCACTTGCGTGGGAGACCAGGAGGAAGCACCTGGCTCCTGGCTTCGGATCAGTGCAGCACCAGCCGTAGGGGCCATTGGGGGGTGAACCAACGAAAGGAAGAACTTTCTCCCTGTGTGCAAGGTGGTGTTTTGGACAGGGCCTCATCAATCATGAGTTATAAGAACCCTTCCTTCATAACCTCTTGGATTTATTTATCAGATTTTTTTTTTTTTTGACAGGCAGAGTGGACAGTGAGAGAGAGAGAGACAGAGAGAAAGGTCTTCCTTTTCCATTGGTTCACCCTCCAATGGCTGCCACGGCCAGCGCACCACACTGATCCAAAGCCAGGAGCCAGGTGCTTCTCCTGGTCTCCCATGCGGGTGCAGGGCCCAAGCACTTGGGCCATCCTCCATTGCCTTCCTGGGCCATAGCAGAGAGCTGGACTGGAAGAGGAACAACCGGGACAGAATCTGGCGTCCCGACCGACCAGGACTAGAACCCGCTGTGCCGGCGCCGCAGGTGGAGGATTAGCCTATTGAGCTACGGCAGTGCTGGCTATTTATCAGATTTTTTAAAAGAGTTGTCACAATGATTCCATTTTGTGACACTTTCACAAATTTTAAAAACATTGTATGTTGATCTCAAATAACAAAATACTTCTGCTGACATTAATCAACTGTAGATTGAGGTTATCCTGACTGTGTTAGTCTTCTTTTAAAATTATTTTCAATTTTTTAAAATATTCATTTATTTGTATATTGAAAGGGAGAAAAAAGAGCACATGCATTCCCATCCACTGGTTCATTCCCCAAATGGCTGCAACAGCCAGGGCTGGGCCAGGTCAAAGGCCAGAGCTCCATCAGGATTTCCCACGTGGGTACAGAGGCCCAAGCACCTGGGCCATCATTTGCTGCTTTCCCAGGTGCATTAGCAGGGAGCTGGTTTGGAAGTGGAGCAGTTTGAAGAGGCACCGTATGGGATGCTGGTATTGCAGGCAGTGACTTAACCTGCTGTGCCACAATGCTGGCCCTGTTTGATGTATTAGTCTTATCTTCAGGGATTTCTCAGCCTCTAGTCAGGTAATTTCACATGTTGACAGATCAGTAATTGTCCCCCTCTCACTGTGATAAGTAATATTATTCCTTGCTGCCCCCTGCCCCACTCAAATCGTTTATACAAGAAAGAGTAAAGTTCCGCTTCATATTGGGACATCAGGTTTTCACCTGAGGGTTACACAAACCTCCCTGGTGTAGTGTGGAGAAACATTTATAAATCTGTATTAATAAATACCAATTTAATATTAATTTAAAAATATTTCCCAGGCCTACTTCTACAGGAAATGGTGTTTCTCTGAGAAAGATCCCCAGAGACCTAAAGGAGACAAGAATGAACTGCTTGGTTGAGCTCTCAGCAGAGTTGACCGAAACTTTCAGTTGTCCACTGGGTTTCAGTTGTCCATTGCGACAGGAATAATACAGCCTTGAAAGATGGTCCATGGGTTGGGCATTTGGCTTTGTGGTTAAGAGCCCAGGTTAAGATGCTCCACTTTGAAGTCTCTGGTTTTTTTTTTTTTTTTTTTTTTTTTTTCTTTTTTTCTCTCAGCCCTGGCTCCAGATTTCAGCTTCCTGTCAATGCGGACCTTGAGAGGCAATGGTGACGGCTGAGGCAGCTGGTGACTGCCACCCATGTGGAAGACGTACGTCAAGTTTCCAGCTTTTGGCTTTGACTCTGTCCCTGCTTAGGTGCTGTGAATACTTGGGGGAGTGAATCAGTCAATGGAAGTTCTGGCTGTCTCTCTCCCTCTCTGCTTTTCTGCCTTTTAAACAAATTAAGAACCATGTCCAAAACTAGCAGATGCCATAAATGACACTACCTCTCCTTTGGCTATCCATCAAACTGGTTTAAATTAAGTTTTTAGGGTGGTTATGGATGGATGATTGCATAGCCTTTGGTTAGCCAGCAAAGGTTTGTCCTATGGAAACACTACTTGTGGCACCATTTTAAAGCATCACTGGGTACATGGAGCTGTTTCATGGCTAGATTATCAGACAACATGATCTAGCTCTCTGGAACAGACTCAGATGGATTTTGGGACATGCAGTCATGGCCTGGTTTTGAAATCTAGGTCCTTGTTTTGGCAGCATACTAGTGGGATTAGTATTTATTTCATTGCTAGTAATGACTAGTGTTGAGTTTGCCAGTGCATCCTGACCAGGATTAAATGCCACTGTGTAATCTTTGTCTTTTCAGATGATTCAACATCTCTGTCCAACAGAAGACACAGAGAGACTACTTATATGCAGATGCAGACAGTGTTGTCCAAACAAACTTGTGATCAATGGATTCTGACAATGCACTGGATTTGAACTCAGCCACTGAAAGAGGACTAACTTTGCCTTGGCTCAAAAGTTGGGTGTGAAAACTGAAATAACATCTAGGATCTTGGAAGGTAAAATCTAATGTTCCCTAGTGTGATGGCTAATTTTGGATGTGCTGACTAGACTGAGGAAAGTCTGTAGAATTGGTAAAGCATTCCTCTGAATGTGTCTACGATGGCATTTCCAGCGGTTGGCTTGAGGGTCATCCTACTGATGGGGTCACCCACCTTCAATGTGGGCAGGCACCGTGAGAGTGGAATTGATGGGACAGGAAGTAGAAGAAAGTGGAAAAACTGTCTCTGGTTCTTGTGATGTGGGTGTGTTTGCTGCTGTGGCTGCCCTTGGATTTTTGGATTTTCCCCAACTACCTCCTGAATGTTTGTGGGCCTTAGTCCTAGGACTGCGGGCTGTACCATTGGTCTCCTGGGTTCTGAGGCTTCTGGCCTCTTGGACTGAGTTATTGCTATTGGGCTTCCAGTGTGCAGATGACCACTCTAAAGCTTTTCAACCTCTCTCTGTGAACATGAGAGCCAGTCTCCTAATATACTTCTTTTGGTTCTGTTTCTCTGGAAAACACTGATGAAATTTCTTATCAAACATAAGGATCTGATGCAAACCATTTGAGTCAGTCAGCTACTCACTGATTGCGATGGAGCAAGACATAAGAGGTCTACTCTGAAGCTGTTTGAGACCAGATAAAGCCCATGATCTCTGCAATCAAGACCCCATTACTCTTCCCACTGCCTAGAAAAATGTTGTCAAGGTAATTGCTGGATTTCTCTATTTTAGAAAACTGGGCTCTGCTTCCCTTAGAATCACATAGACAAAGTCTGTAACAGGCTGCCCTCTACTGCCTCCTGTAAGGCCTACGTTTCTGCATTTACTGCACTGCAGTAAATAATGCTAGCTTTGTTTGATTGCATATCTTTTGGCTGATGGTACCTGTCCAAATCTAGGGAGCCCATTCTGGAACCTTCCTGGTCTGGCAGCACCTTCCATCCCTCAACCCCTGCCCTGGTTTATTGCCAGCAAATATATTTCAAAATGCTTTGAAATTAAAGGGAAGAACATTTTTGCTCAATGGGCATCAGAAAGGCAACACTGATAAGATGACTTAGTTTGGGATGAAATGGTTAAACCGAGAGCAAGCAATTACTTGGATGGCTTTTCTTGGGAGGGGCTCCAGTGATTGGCTATTCTCGGTAGGATGGGTCATGGGGGTGGATTGCTGCAGGGCCTGGGCCCTTTTTCACTTTCCGAGTATTTTTCAGCCAGGTCTCTGGACCTTCTCTCTTCTGAATCGGGTGGGAGCGATGCAGGACATGGGAAGGAGCACTCTCAGCAGGAAGCCACGGTGGACGGTCCCTGGCAACTTTCATGCTCCAATGGTAGTTTACAACGAAGAGCAGGAGGAGCGAATATTCAGTGGGTGTTCCGTGGTCACACCCCCTCCCCATCCCTCTCTTGGGGGTTACCAGCCTTCCTCTCCTTCCCATCCCTTTCTAAGTTTCCTTCCCCAGGGTCACCTTTGCATCTCGGAAACACCAGAGTTTCACACACCTCTTTTGTCACCTCTTCTGCTCACAGGCCACAAGGACGCCCACCTTCGCTGCATCGAGGTGCACAGCCAGACCCTCATTCAGCTGGAGCGCGGGTTCACAGCCACGGGTCAGACCTGCGTCACCATCGTTGGACCACTTAGGGCCCGGCAGTGGCTGATGGACATGATCTGCAACGGGGGGAGCCCTGACTCATGCACTCGGGCCCGAGGTGGGTCTCCTTGTGGAACTGTGACTGGTCAGTGATGGAGTCCTGGCACAGGATGGAGTCCTAGGCTGTAGGAGAATTGCTTGGGTGACTGGGAGTTTGGGTGGTGCCCTGAGTCCACTGCGGGTGGGGGGACCTGGAGCCACAGTCATTTCTGTGGCATGAACTCAGTTTGCAGGAAGGTAGTGGGGAGGTGGCAAGGGTCACTTGGAGAGGCCTGGGCTGGGGTGACATCCTCGCTTGTAGTGTCCCCTGGTGGGGATCCTGGCCTGCTCTGGGGCCCCAGTCATGATCCTGGGTGCTCCCTTCACAGGGCCATGAGGAGCTGCAGCGTGTGCAGGGCCAGCCCCTGACGGAGGTTGACCTGGCTGCCTCCTTTAGACTGCATCTCAGCGCCAGCTGCGTGTCTTCCATCAGCAGGGTGAGTGCGACCATCTCTCCTGAGGCTGCTCTGGCTTTCCCTGTCCAGTTGGTTGACCGTTTCCAATCGCATTGGAGTTCACACTGTCCCTAATAAAGGATGGTCTCTCCTGAGAAACATGGAGGGAAAGTCTTGTCTTGGCTCTTGGTGAAGACATTTGAAGTCCTGGGTCTAGTCTGTCCTCACCAGACTATGCGAAGTTATCCAATAAAACAAGCTGCATACTGTGTGCAGCCTTTGGTGTGCTGTCCCCTTTCCTCCAGATGAGTTTATTTAGCCCAGAAGGAGCTTTCCTGGGTGAGCCTGGTGCTGAGGTCTGGACAGCCTGTGCTGACTTTGGGGAAGTCTAGTCCAGGGATGGAGCTAGATGTAAGACAGCTTATTTCTTTGAAGGATTTATTTATTTATTTGAAAGGCAGAGTTACAGAGAGGGAGGGAAAGAGAGAGAGAGGGAGGGAGAGAGAGAGGGAGGGAGAGAGAGAGGTCTCTTCCACCTGCTGGTTCACTCCCCAAATGGCTGCAACGCTTGGAGTTAGGTGGATCCAAAGCCAGGAGCCAGGAACTTCTTCCGGGTCTTATGGATGCAGGGGCCCAAGGATTTGGGCCATCCTCTGCTGCTTTCCCAGGCACATTAGCAGGGAGCTGGATCAGAAATGGAGTAGCCAGGACTCGAACTAATGTCCATATGAGATGCTGTAGCCATAGGCTCTGCCACAGCGCCGGCCCCAAGACAGCCCTTCCATGAACCGTGTCCCTCAAATGAGGAGCTTGGCTGGGCTGTTCTGAGTGTTAAGTAAAATGAGGGGCTTTTGAAAAGAAAGAACCCTATGGGGAGCCCCAGGATTCTCCTGGACCTTAATATACAGACAAATGAGGAGAAAGGAAAGGAAGGAGGGGTCCAGACAGAGACAGAGGTACTGCTCACTCACCTGCTGGGGACATGGGCAGCCAGGCAACTTTGTGATCGTGAGTTACCCAGGCATTGTCCCTGATTACCAGAAGTTTGGATATGTGAAGAAGGGGTGGCTTTCTGGAAGCAAAGGGCCTGGGATCCCTAAATACGTGAGTAAATTGACTTAAAGTGAACCTTCCTAAATCTCCACTCAGGAACTTTCTCCTGAATGCCAGAATTACATATGGCTCTCTCTACCCAAGACCATGGCAAAAGGAAAATGTCCTCTCGCATTTCTCCAAACCAGCTCCTCTCTTCTGCGTCTTTATTTTACAGAGGCTACTGTAGTCATCCAGGAGAGATGATGAAGTCTTAGGCCAGAATGGAGGTGGTAAAAGTGTTAGGAAACAGTTGAATTTGGAGTATGCTTTGAACCTAGTAACACTTTGTCATTATGTGGTTTTTACATGGCCAATTACAACACAAAATATACAAATATCATACAGCAGATTCACATCAGAAAATCACTTGTGAATCCAGCTGCAAGAAAACCAAGCCACACTCTTTTCAAAGGGAAAATCATGTTTGCTTTCTAATAATTTATCAATTCACATCCCCTAAAGAAGGGAAAAAACTTTACTTTTGTAATACATACTTTCATGAAAAGCATTTTCATCCTTAATTAATTTTTTTAAGATTTATTTAATTATTTGAAAGGCAGAGTTACAGAGAGGCAGAGGCAGAGAGAGAGAGAGAGAGCGAGCGAGAGAGCAAGAGCAAGCCTTCCATCTGCTGGTTCACTCCCCAAATGGCTGCAATGGTCAGAGTTGTGCCAATCCAAAGTCAGGAGCCAGGAGCTTCTTCCTGGCCTCCCACGCGGGTGCAGTGGCCCAAGGACTTAGGCCATCTTCTGCTGCTTTCCCAGGCAGTAGCAGAGAGCTGGATTGGAAGTGGAACCCTGGGACTTGAACTGACGCCCATAGGGGATGCTGGCACTGCAGGCGGTGGCTTTACCTGCTACGCCATAGTGCTGGCCCCCTTAATTAACTTTCATACCAAGAATGATCAGATTAGCACTTTGTCTTTTTGAAGCTGTACATATGATATCTAAATTCCAGTCACCAAAAGTTTCTGTGTGGTCACAGACCGGGTATCCCAGTGTGGGAGTTTCTATCTCAGACACTGGAGTGAGGGTACATGCATTTACATACCTGTCTGCCACTAAGTAGCTTTCGATCTTTGGTGAGTTCCTGACTTTCCTAACATACAGAGCAGGACAATAATAGTAACGGCTTCAGGTAGACCTTTTTCCCTTTTGTGCCTTTGCTTACATGCTTTCACAGCCTTGTTTTCTAATGGAACTACAGTTTTGTATAGGTCTTCCGTACCTCCCTAGTTCTGAGAGGGGATTGCTGGTTGACTGAAGCCAATCAGGACATCTACTTTGTAACTCTTACTGGTCCAGCAATGAGTAGCTGTCCCGTATTAGTTTAATCAGCAGTCGGGAAAGGACATGTGTTCCACACCTGGATGTAGGGCTCCCCCTGCTTTTCTTCTGCTGTTGGAAGAGATGCTGGGGCTGGATCTGTGGTGTAGTGGGTAAAGCTGCTGCCTGCAATGCCAGCATCCCATATGGGCTCTGGTTCCAGTCCAGGCTGCTCCACTTCCAATCTGGCTCTCTGGTATGGCCTGGGAAAGCAGAAGAAGATGGCCCAAGTCCCTGGGCCCCTGCTCCCACATGGGCGACCCTGAAGAAGCTCCTGGCTTCTGCCTGGCCCAGCCCTGACCATTGTGGCCATTTGGGGAATGAACCAGGATGTTGAAGATCTCCCTCTCCATCTTTGCTTCTCCTTTTCTGTAACTCTTTCAAATAAATAAATAAATAAATAAATAAATAAATCTTTTCAAAAAAGAGATACAGTTAGTATGGTGCAAAAAATTGCCTCTGACAGCTGTCTGTGGACAATAAAGACATCAACAGGACAGTACTGACTAGGAGGAGAGCAGAGATCAAAGAGCCTGGAGGCTTGAGAATGTAGTTGAGCAAACGGTACTCTTCCTGAGTCCCAGTTATGTTAGCTGAGAATGCTCTTAATGCTTTAGGTTGTTTGAGCTAGGATTTTCTGATACCTGTAGTCTAATGCTTCCAAACTGCTCCAGGACTTGTGACGTGATGAGCAGTAAGTGCATTAATTACAGAAAAGCACGTTTTCAGAGTATTGACCAGTTCCAAAGCATGAGCTGTTATTCTAAAGCTTAGGATTCATAGATGGCCACAGGCTGGGCTCTGGATGTGGGCCAGGCTTTGGCAGGAAATAGAGTAATGAGAAGTGGGGAGAAGTAAGGTGGTGGTACAGGACAGGGACAGGTGGGATAGGTGGGCAGAAGAATCCTCCATTTTTATTTCCAGTTCACAGTGAAGGTGAAGACATGCTAGTCTTTCTAATGGATGAGCATTAGACGTGGGTGTCAGCCATGGGGTCTGAACCAGTTGTTTTGAGGATGGAAGAGGGATAGAGGCCAAGGTTCTGAGGTCTAGGTGAGACAGTCATGGGGCTGCTTAGGGAGATGCTCCTCCCATTCTGGCAGAAATAGAATTACTGGTTATTTGGCATTGATTAGTTTCTTCCCAGATCCCTTGGGAAAAGTACCAGAACTTTTGGGAAAAGTAGTATTACATCTGTATCACAGTGTTAATGAGGCTTGATGATCACTGTCCACTTGACTGAAAGGCCTCTGAAGTGAGGGTCTGGAAGTTGTTGACAACTGAAGAAAAGGCCCAGAAGGCAGGCCGGCGCTGTGGCATAGCAGGTAAAGCCGCCGCCTGCAGCCCATATGGGACATGTGTTCCACACAACCAGCCCATATGGGTGCTGGTTGGAGTCCCGGCTGCTCCACTTCAAATCCAGCTCTCTGCTATGGCCTGGGAAAGCAGTAGAAGATGGCCCAAGCCCTTGGGCCCCTGATCTCATATGGGAGACCTGGAAGAAGCTCCTGGCTCCTGGCTTTGGATTGGCGCAGCTCCAGCTGTTGCAGCCATTTGGGGAGTGAACCAGCAGATGGAAGGCACTCTCTCTCTCTCTCTCTCTTCCTCTCCTCTCTCTGTGTAACTCTGACTTTCAAATAAATAAATAAAATCTTAAAAAAAAAAAAAAAGAAAAAGAAAAGGCCCAGAAGGGACAAGACACTTTCACTCTTGACGTATTCCATACCCATGCGTGGTGTGGAGTGGGAGTCCGGGGTACAACGTGAGATGCTCCTGCTCTTGCATCATTTAAATCTGGGACATTTGAGGTGACTTTGGGCCCGAGTAAAGACAGGTAGAGCAGATGCTCAGGAGGCAAATCTGGGCTGCAGATGTGTGACTGGGTGGGAACATCAGTATTACCAGCTGAGGCTGCTGGTGAGTCCACCTAGGAAGTGTGTGAAGTTTCAGGGAGAAAAGGCAAGCGGCTAACGATGGACGCCATGGGAAGACTGACAGTTAAGTGATGAAAAACAGTAAGGCGCGCCTGGAGAAGTCGATAAAGACGGTCAAGGCAGAGAGGGAGGAAACTGTGATAGTGTGAAATGTGTATCTGGTTTTCATCCCGTTTCCTAACAGTTCTTGAAACTCTTGGCGTCTCTGAATTGATAAGCGTCTTATATTCTAAGGCAATGACTGGGGGCTGGGACCCATAAATTGCTTCAGAATTGGATCTGGTCACAGGAAAGACCTCTGCAGTATCCGAACACTGGAACCCTGGACCCCATCCACCAATATGGAGGGCAGAGAGGAACTGGAGCTTCAGCTCATCACCAGAGCCGATGATTTAGTCCAGTCTGTAATGAAGCTTCCAGAAAAACCTTACATGATTTGCTTAGGGTCTATTCTGGGCAGTTGAACAGGGACAAGTTCCTGGAGGGTGGCTTGGTGCTTCCCACACCACCTGGCCCTCCGCATCTCTTTATCTGTATGCATGACTCTGGGACACAATCCAATGACATCGCTAGGCCCAGGAAGTTTTCAGATCCATTACAATCTTAGGGATCACAATGGTCTATAAGGCTTGTCATGTAGGAAATGTTGTTATGTGTCCTATGACTGCAGTTTGTTTCCAACATGTAGAGAAGGCAGAGAGTGAAATGAAGAGGAAAGGAGGGTACTGGATGGTTCCTGCTAATATGTAAAGGGCTTAGGCGTGTTTTGGAGGGGAAAGAATGAGGATCGGCTCTGCAGATAGGAGGCAGGGGTGGGCTAAAATTGGACAACCAGGAGCTTAGGAACCTAGAGCAGAACCAATCTTCTCTAAAAGCAGAGTTCCCAGGCTGGAGTGGTGCTGATGGCTCACCTAAGCGCAGGGATCTCTGATGACTGCAGGGGCTGTGGAAGCATTGCTCTGAGAGTTTGTGTCAGAGGCTTTGTTAATTCTCTTGGTGTGAAGTCCTTTTTGGCCTGGGTGATGGTGAGTGGCACCCTGAACTGCAAGGGGAAGGTATGAGTACCTAATTGCTTGGGGGCACAAGAACAGGCAGTGATTAGAAAACCAGGCAGTAAGTCATGACAGTGTAGGCAAAAAAAAGAGAAAGGAGCAGCAGCAGGTGATGGAAAGAGAAGAGTATCACTAAATAAGAGGAAAAAAGTGTACAGGTAGAAAGTTTAAAATAGTTACAGGTGCTGTGGCAGTGTAGGGGAAACTGAGAACCATTATAGTCACTCTCTAGCATTTTGGACTTAAAACAACTGTCAAAATTATGACAGAAATGAAAGGAATCATGAATAGACAAAGAGTAATGACATCGCATCAGTATACCCTTGGCTCTGAACAGGAAAATTCTGCCATCCTCCAGTTTTGTGGAGCTGTGATTTCCAAGGCAGTGCATAAGGCTACAGTATCCATATAATATGTCTGATAATTATCTGATAAATATATTTGAAATATTATAACATCTCAGTAATATTATGTAGGTTAGAGGGAAAAGTCCTTTCTCAGTTAATGAAAACCTAAATTTTTTCAAAGAAACTATCTGTACCATATTCTTGAGGCATTTAAAACCAGGTCAATAAAAGTTGCCACTATTTTCATCATGGTTAGAGTGAACTAATTGTTATTTATTTTACTTTAAAGTGGTGGGTGTGGGAGGTACTGCTAAAATAGTTCAAAAAATGTTTGGAAGTGCTCTACATTTTTAATTGGGTCAAGGAAGCATATTTCATATACAGTTTTATTTTCAACCATCTAGAAGTTGAGAGAATAAGCACATACCTATTTGGTCTCTTCAGAGCCATGATGGGAACTTTCCTTCTCATTCCAGGGTAACATTCCTCATTCATCCCCCTGCCCAAAACACCTGTTAGGGTTTTGTTGCTTTGTATTCCAGAGTAGTAACATTCTGAGCCTCTTTGAAAATAATTCCACTGGAGTGATTCCTGGGCATTTAGCACAACATTGTTAGTGAAAAAGAAGGGATCAGACTTTTTAGGAAAAAAAGAGCAAAGGTCCCTTTTGGAGCAGAACTGAGTAGGTGTTAAAAATGGTGGTTCTTAGTAGCTAGAGGCTGTAGCATTTGGGTATCTTCCTGGCCTCTATTTCTTGTTGATTATTATTTTTTAAAATTTTATTTATTTGAGAGGTAGAGTTACAATGAGAGGGAGAGACAGAGAGAAAGGTCTTCCATCCACTGGTTCACTCCCCAAATAGCCACAACTTCTGGAGCTGGCAGATCAGAAGCCAGGAGCCAGGAGCCCTCTCTGGATCTCCCACTTGGTGCAGAGGCCCAAGCATTTGGGCCATCCTCCACTTCCTTCCCAGGCCGCAAGAGAGCTGGATCGGAAGAGGAGCAGCTGGGAGTAGAACCAGTGCCCATATGGGATGCCAGCGCTGCAGGTAGAGGATTAACCTACTGCGCCACAGAGCTGGCCCTTCTTACTGCTTATTTAGCAAACACTTGTGCTATACAGGTTGAGCATCCCTAATGTAAAAATATGAAATCTGGAAAGTTCCAAAATTCAAAACTTTTTGAGTGCTGACCTGATTCCTGATACAGGTAGAAAATTCCATACCACGAAACTTTGTTTCATACACAAAATTATTAAAAAATGCTTATAAAATTTACTTCATATTATGTGTATAAAGTATATATGAAACATAAATGAATTTCGTGTTTAGGTTTGGGTCCCATCCCACATTATGAATATGTGAATATAATGCAAATATTCCTAAATCCTAAAATAGCTGAAATACTTCTGGTTCCAAGCATTTTATATAAGGAGTACTCAACCTGTGATTAACACAAAATTCACATGCCTTATATCTGAGTTACGGTTACTACTTGGTTATTTTTTCTTATGATACTCTCAAGAACATATGCCAATCTCCCCCTTTCCCAAATGCCAAACATTTCTCTGGCAATATTGCATAAAAGTAATTTTTATATTTTATTCCAAAATCTGTACACAATCCATTGACTTGGATCAGTCAGATCAGAACCAAACCAGTTAGTTGCCCGATAAAAATAGACACACTAGCTGTTTACAGACATCTTTTTTAATGTTTTACTTTAAAACAATAATCCCAGTAAAAGAGAGCAAAGGAAATTAGATTTTAATGGTAGCTTGAAATGGATATGATATTCCTGACTTATTTGTTTTCAGGAAACAGACAATTGCATTTCCTAGATGACTTTTAGAACTGCTCACTTAAATGCACACAATTATATTAAATTAAGTTTCTCTTACAAAAACACAACCATGTCATTTAAGGCAAAAAAATCAGCTTCTGGGGAGATAAGTTAATATTTATATTTCCTCAGTCTGATTAAATGAAGTGATCTGCTAATTTGGTTGGCCAGGTTTCACCATTCCTTATGTTCTGCTTTGCAAATGGGTGTGAGAAGTGTTCACTCTGTGCCCGATTTCCTCCTTCCGCAGACTTGTTTTACTTGCAAATTAGGAACTTTCAGAATCACTGAGCCTGTCACTCAGAGGTGAGAAAGGCACCTTAGAACAAGAGTTAAGGACTTAAAAATTCAGGAAGATGTCTTACTTCAAAAACAAAAACAAAAACAAAAAAAAACCTTGGAATCTACAGGTATTAATTTAGTTCAACAAAATGCAAACATTTAGATTGGACAAAGCAAAATTTTTTAGTTAACCTCCTATCAAGGAAATTTGCAGTTAAATATTAGCTTGGTCAACCCCACATGTTGAAGAAGGCAACAAACTTGTCTGAGAAAGCATGGAGCTACCCAGTGGTCAGTAAATTGTGCTTCAAGACACCATTTGGGATTGCCCAGTGGGACTTTGCGAAGTGTAAGTGGGAGGCCTGTCTCATTTTCATAGAGTAACACAACAGACAGAACCTTACAGTTTTCACACAATACAATTACCATTCATCTCCAAGAAGGTTTGTGCTAGAGCAAGATAGACACAAAATGGTCATGGCTTCAATGTTTCCAAGTTTTTCACAACATGATTTGTCACATTTTGCTTGGATTAAGACCTCTGCGTTGCCTTCAGTCTGTTTCTGGATCTTCAGTCTTCAGCAGTGCTGCATGAACTGTACTGTTTGAGGTCTAAGTAGGGGTCCCCAATACATTCAGAATTCCTGCTGCCAGTGGGGACTGACTCAGGACACAGCATGTCCAAGAATCAGTGCTACCTGAAAGCTGCTGCCACCTTCCTCTTCCTTGGTTAATATTTGCAAATGGCTGGCCAAGTTCATGGCAAGTATCTGTATTTGGGTAGTGGAGGGGTGTGTGTGTGTATTGGTGTGTTTACATGTATAACATCCTTGGGAAAGTGTATCACTGCTTGGATTGAGTGGAGACATGGGTGGATGAAAAATTGCATGTCACGATTTATTCACATTCTATGCTTGGACAATGAAAACAACTGCTGTAAAAGCATGGCAGACTTATTTGAACTGGAGTGTAAAATCTAGAATCTGTACTCTGTGGGTCTTCAGCAGCCAAGAAGATTCTGAATGATACACTCCAGGGCAGTGTGTTAGAATCCAAGTGAGGTGAGAGGAGGAAGCATTTCAGTGTTTATCCAAAGGGACAAGGATTTAAAAGGGTGGAGAAGCACATCTTAGATAGTGTAGAATGTATTTACTTGGGGATGGAGGCTGGTGAAGACCTGCTGAAGTTCAGGGAGTCCTTCCCCTGCCTGCCAGCTGATATCCCTGTGCATTCTCTTTGGCTGCTGGAGAAGTTTTTCTGGGGGCAGCACTGATGTTTGCCAAGGTTAAAGGTCTTCCTTTCTTGAGTTCTTCAGTGGCTGGGATTGAAATCAACTGAAACGCTGAGTCTCGTCTCTCCTTGCCTTTTGAATGCCATTCCTTTGGCTCTTAGGTTCTGATGGTCTGAGACAGCTAGACTGTGTGCTTTCCAATAAATACGTTTTTCATTTTGCTTCCCTGACCTTTCTGCAGCCATGATATATTATTATGTTTTGATTTGCCTGTGCTATTAGGTTTCTAATTGTAAATGTTTATACCAGGAAACAGAACTAGCAATTTCAGAATTGGGACAACATTTCTGGGGAGGGGGGAATAGAAAATAGTCACAACAGTATAAAAAGTAAAGGACGTTTAGGTTTAGCCTTTCATATGCAAAATGTACTACACAATAGCAAAAGACATTCAGGGCATATTAAAAAATAAATACCTTGAAAAATTCTCTGTTTATATATAAGGAAAGTTTAGGTAGTTGAATATCCTAGCAATACTTACTTTCTAAAAAAGTCTGACTCTTTCATTTTGGTTTGCTTCTCTTCCTCTCATTGCCTTTTGTGTGGGAAGTGATTTTCTTTTAACTTCATCTACTTCCTGGTATTGTTTCTGAATTCCTTTCGTGCCCTTCCTATCTCAGTCCCCCTCAAATGTCCCATTCCCCTGTCCTGCCTTTATGTCAGTTAAATGAGAATAGCTTTTCACACTTGGCCTTCATGTGGGCAATTTCGGCAAGCTTGGGGTTGGTGCCATTGTAGAGAGACCAGCCCAATCGCACTGGCTCTTCTAATAATCAATATTCCATAAGCTTATGTGGAAGCTGAGCACATACGAAGTTGATTCTGCCATCAGAGAATGTTTCCATAAGGTCAGTCTGTTTGCCCCACTGGCCCTGAATTTCATTACTCCCACATCTTCTAATCGAAGAACATTCTTGTCGGAAAGAACAACATGAAAATGATGTGCAAAACTGCTTGCCACAGCGCTAAGTCACCAAAAGCACACAAATTGACATTCAAATTACATGAATTATAAAACGACTGAATAGGAATGGGTTGGCAAATATATCTTGAAATAAGCAGCCATTTCTATTATTCCCAAATTCTGCTTTACTCGAGACCTTGTTAGCAGCTGTTGTTAGCCGTTGTGTTTAAATATACATGATGGCCTAATTTGAAAATGTGTTTTCTATTTAGTCATAAAGCAGAAATGCCTGAAATTTGAAGATGTTGACTCTCATCATTTCGCAACACAATGTCAAGTCTTCTAACTGACCTAATCTTGACATGTCCACACGCCCCATAGCAATAGCAGCGTTTGATTTCTCAGGAGTTTAAACTCAAGGTACATTACTAAATGAGTGAGTTAATGTTGATGCACCTTGGAATTTCAGCCATCCCTAAACATGCATTTTCATGCAATTAAAAGATAACAGGCCTATAAACTGCCTTTCATGTTCCTCCTGATTCTTGCAATTTCAACTTTTTTGACGGGCTTTCAAAATAGTTCATGCAATGATATGTATGGCTAAAGGAACTGCTATGCCTAGAAAGAAAACAAAGAACTTATTTCAGTTTGACATGAGGCAAGCTGAGGGCGTCTGTACTTTCTCCTGCCTTACAAATGCTCTGAGATGATCGTGATCTTCCAGTCCTTAGAGAGTCTGCTGCAAAAGCAGCTTCCCTGGCAGGCTGCGGCGCGGAATCAAAAGTGTCTGTCTCTGTCTCCTCAGGACCCACCTCTTCATCAGTTATAAACAATTTGGATTCCCTCCATTTGGGGTAAAAATCTTGGCTGCCTCTGGAGCCACTTGACTCACTCCCTGAAAGCTGGACGTTCAGTTCCTCCGTCGACCTGATCAGGTTTTGTACAGATAAAGATTTGCCCAAGTCCTTGGGCACCGTCGGGTGGACAGACAACAGAGTTTCTCCTCCCATGTCAAAGCTTTTCCTCAGAGAACGGTCCTTGGTCAGAGTCGACTGTGCAATCTGAACACTTTCCTTGGAGGCAACAAGGCAGGTGGTGACATCGGAAATGCCTTCCTGGAGGCCTGCGGGGTTTGGGTGCAAGGTCTCTGGCCTGGGCAGATGCTTGATGGCTGGGAGAGGAGGTGGGATTTGTAAAGTTGTTGGGGCTGCTGGCTTGGGTGCCACGGTTATTTGGTTTGCAATGTTGGTGGCCGCTGCTGTGGAGCCGTCGCCTTGACTCATTGGCACCTGTGTTGCTTGACTGTGCATAGTAGGGCTAAGCGCGTAGAAAGTCTGAGCACTGAACTCATTTGGCGTCAGAATGAACTGCAGGCCTCGTGAGATGTTGGCACTGGCTGATCTGGTCAAGCAGCCACTGTTTTGTGCGGAACTGGACAGATCTTTGCTATCCACAGGGCTCTGATAGTCAGACGTCTGTTCACATTCAAAAGGTGGGATCTGGAAGGAAGCCAAGGCGAGAGCCGAGGCGGAGCCTTTCCGGAGGACCTGCTGGTAGATGTCCAGCAGGCAGTCCAGCTTGGATTCAATGGACTGGACCTAAAGGTGGGGAAAATGATCGCATATGAGGATAACCTGTTATTAAGAACAGACTTCATGTCTGAAATCCAAAATGAAATCAGAGGGTGTCAATACAGTTGGGTAAATATTGGTGAATGCAACACCTAGCCAGAGAATCTTCAAGAGAGAGACACTTTGGCTCCTGCCTCTGCTTCTTTAAAATGGACAGTCGATGTTCTTAGAAGTCACACAAGTGCAATAAAAGTGCAACTTCAAGACTCTTCATCCCTATCAGATTGCCTTCCTCCCAATGAAGACATCCTGGAACTTCATGGCATTTTAGTAAGGAATTTAAGCTTTAAAAAAATTAAGACCTCACCTATCTATCTAGGTGGTTTTTATTTTAAAAATAAAGGCACAAAATGCTTGAAAATAAATACTTGGAATATGTATGATGAAACTGGAGGAGCAATTTGATTTCTGGTTCTGGAAAATTGTATTTGTATGTGAAGATACAGCCTAAGGGTTAACAAACATTCAATATGTCATCATATTTATTATCAGATTTGCTCTTACTTAAAAAAGAGTGCACTAAAAGAAGACACAATGAAAACAACTAAAAATAACCAAAACACAGATGAAAAATAGAATTTTGCTCTTTTACTATTGAAAATCTATAATTGCTTCCAGTTAAGTATTAATTAATGAGATGAGATTGTTTCTGCCTTTTATGAAAATCCAAAGGTGTTTCACAGAATATTGTCTACATGCAGAAAATTTAATTTCTTTCACTTTTTCTTGATTTATTCCTTTTAAAATATATGAATCACTAAGATATATCCAACTGTCTACAATTTTGATTTTAAAAATCTACCTGTTTTTCGACCTTGACCACCCGGCCAAGCATACTGAGGTCATCTGTGGTCTCGTGTTCTGCTGTTATTTTCTCTCGGCTCTTCTTATCTGATGTGATTTGCCCTTTTCCAAGAATTTGATCGACACTATCAGAGAAAGAAATAAGCACTGATTATAAGCACTGAAGGTGGAGATCTCCCTGGGCCAGACTGAAGTACTTGGAAAAAAATTATTTTTAGTTAATGTAGGAATAAATAAGGATGAACTTGTTCCAGTTGGTGTGCTGCTGCTGCTGCTTCTTTTTTTAATTTGAGAGGCAGAGAGAGCAAGAGTGAGAGTGAGAGCAAGACAGCGAGAGAGAGGGAGAGAGGGAGAAAAGGAGAGAGAGAGAGGGAGAGGGAGAGAGAGCCCTGCACCTGCTGCTCTCCAAATGCTCACAACAGCCAGGACTGGGTCAGGCTGTAACCAGGAACTGGGACCCAATCCAGGTCTCCCATATGGGTGGCAGGGACCCAACTCTTACAGCCATCATCAGCTGCCTCCCAGGTATGCGTTAGCAGAAAGCCATGTCCTTATTCTGGTCCATGATGAAATCACTGGTGAGTGATCTTCTGGAGACAGGACTGTCATAAACAAAGTGATTTGTTTGTTTTCACCTCTGACCAGTCAGTTTCTGAATTCAACCACTTATTTTTCATTAATAGGACAGATAATTTATAGTATATCTGATTTATGGAAGATAAGCAGAAAAGAAACTATGATCTTTCTTTTTTTCAGTTGGAGAATATATATGCGTTGGGAATTCAACATTAGTTCTGTAGATTCTGTAACAGTCCAACTTTGAAAAAAATCTTGGTAGCCACTGATAGTTCTATTAAAGGACTTGGAAGACAGGAGCTACATATGCTGATATTCTAATATGACCACAGGACGAATTAAAGCAATTTCCAGGGAGACCTGATCAGCCTAAATGAGAATCACTTTCTTCTTTCATTTTACAATTGAATTATCAGAAGTATTAACTCAACTTTCCAGCTTACTTTGTATAGAAACACAGGCAGTGCCTACTCTCTGCCATGGCATCTAATCTATTGAACCACAGGCTTTATCAGGACTGGGTAATATTTTGTTAATTATCTGCTGAATGAGTGAACAAATTGTTTTCTATAGTCGATCAACAGATGCTTAACTAAGGGCCTAGTTGTTGCCTCATTTGGGCTAACTGTGCTGTGGGAATACATATAAAAAAAGAAGGCTCACTCCTTGGGGGTCAGCATTGTGGCACAGCAAGTGAAGCCACTGCCTATAATGCCTGCATCCCATTTTCAGTGCTGGTTTGAGTTCTGGGCTACTTCACTTTCAATTCAATTCCCTGTTATTGCAACCAGGAAAGTATCAAAGGATGGCCCCAGCTCTTGGGTTCATGCTACCCACATGGGAGATCTGGACAGAGTTCCAGGCTCCTGGCTCCGGCCTGGCCTAACCCTCACCATTGTGGATGTCTAGGGAGTGAAACAGTGTGAATGGAAAATCTCCCTCTTTCTCTTCTCTGCCTTTCAAATAAATAAATAAATCTGTAATAAATACAAATAAAATAATAAATAAATAATAAAAAAAGACTCAGTCCTGCAATTTGAGAACTATTCAATCACAAATGCTGGTAATATGGACCTGATAGTAAGGGAAGACTTTATAATACTCAGTTGACTAAATACTTTGACTTGGAGATGACTCAAACAGCCACATGCGGTTGGAACTAACATATTGAACTCATTTCTTTTAATCACTCAGTAAGATACTTAATAGAAGGATAGTGCTTATCTATTATCACAGATGACACCAATGAAGGGAAGGCCCCAGTCTTAGTCAAGAGCAAGGAGAATACACTTGGGACCAAGAAACAACGTAAGAGCAGAGTCTCAAGTCTGGCCCATTACAAGCTTATGAGTGCTCCTATGTTCTGTAGTAGATTCTAAATGCTGTAGGAGATCAGGGAAAAGGAAGATCTATCTTCATGGGCTGCATATTTGGGAAAAGTTTAATGAAGAAGAAAGGTTAGTTTATTCCTAAAGGATGATTAGGATTTAGATAGTAAGAAAAACAGGAGGATCATCATCATCAACAGCAATAATTCAAACATCAGCAACAACCATTAACATTTATTGAGAACTCAGTGTCAGGCCTACTATATTTTCCAAATAATGTGTATTAACTTATGTGTATTAACTTATCCAATCTTTAGGCTAACCATATACGCAAACATTAACATTCTGGCCATTTTTATAGATGAGAAAATGAAAACGGACTCTTTTAATGCTTGATTTACATCTAGATTAAAGCAAATAAACTGTATGTCAAAAGTCCAGGTACCTACTGAAGATGAATTACAAATTTTTCTTACTAAAAAGTTTTCTTACTAAGTTGGTTTTATGCTCATTCCTTTACAATGAATAACATTTTCATTGCTTACCGTGTTTGAAGGCTTTTAATTCTACACAACATGTCCAGATGACCAGCAGAATATTGTTCAATGACATCTTTTACATCATATGGGCGTAATGTTTCCTTAAACTTCCGTTTTGCAACATGAAATTTCATAATTCTGTAGGAGCAACATATTGTACATTAATCTTCATAATGTTGTGAAAAGAAATGACCAAAATGTGGCCGGTGCTGCGGCTTACTAGGCTAATCCTCCGCCTTGTGGCGCTGGCACACCGGGTTCTAGTCCCGGTCGGGGCGCCGGATTCTGTCCCAGTTGCCCCTCTTCCAGGCCAGCTCTCCGCTGTGGCCCGGGAGTGCAGTGGAGGATGGCCCAAGTGCTTGGGCCCTGCACCCCATGGGAGACCAGGAGAAGCACCTGGCTCCTGCCTTCGGATCAGCACGGTGCGCCGGCTGCAGCAGCCATTGGAGGGTGACCCAACGGCAAAAGGAAGAACTTTCTCTCTGTCTCTCTCATTGTCCACTCTGCCTGTCAAAAAAACAAAACAAAACAAAACAAACAAACAAACAAAAAAAGACCAAAATAGGGGCTGGCGCTATGGCATAGTGGATAAAGGTGCCGCCTGCAGTGCCAGCATCCCATATGGGTACCAGTTCAAGTTCCGGCTGCTCCACTTCCGATTCAGCTCTCTGCTATGGCTTGGGAAAGCAGTGGAAGATGGCCCAAGTCCTTGGGCTCCTGCACCCACGTGGGAGACCCAGAAGAAGCTCCTGGCTTCGGATTGGTGCAGCTCCAGCCATTGCGGCCAACTGGGGAGTGAACCAGCAGATGGAAGACCTCTCTCTCTTTGTGCCTCTTTTATAAGGAGAACTCATTTCAAAGTTACACTTAGCTTTTCTCTTCCTTGTGGAGATGTTTTGATGGAAGGCACATTTTGAAGGCATCCTAAAGACAATATGGCAATCTGGCCTTCAGTCAGATTTTATGCAGATCTTAAATAATTTTTTTACTTATGTAATTTATTCTTATAAGCTAACTAAATTAAATTAAAACCATGTTTTGTACTTTTGATCCATAGTTATGATTTTGATCAACATTAAAAAGGAAGTGGTCATCTTTTATGTTATTTCAGTATAACTGTATGATGATCGATATGCAAAGTAGATTAGATTTTTAAAAATCCTCAAAGGGTTACTACTTACTGGCCAGAAGAATTTTATGACACAGATCTTCAAGGAAATAGGGAAGACAATGAGAGAATACAAGAGAGAGACCTCTTCCATCTACTGGCTTATTCCCCAAATGCTAGCCACAGCCAGATCTGATCTAGGCCAAAGCCAGGAGCCAGGAACTCCCTCTGGGTCTTCCATGTGGGTGTCACAGGTTAAGTTCATGGGCCAGCTCCTGCTACTTTCTCAGGTACATTAGCAGGAAGCTGGATTGGAATGGGAGTAGCCTGGACATGAATCAGCTTCAGTATGAGATGCTGGGGTGGCGAGCAGTGGTTTAACCCCCTGTGCCACAATGCTGGCCCAAGTTTTCTTTACAATACATATTTCCCAGCTGATTCATGAACAAAAAGCTACTCAATTAGCCTGTGAGAAGGGGAGGAGGGAACATGCCATTTTATGGTTTTGTGGCAGGGTGTGGGGGTGGGGAGAAATGAAGGTGAGAGTTCAGTAATTTTAGACCTCCGGAGAAGTATGAGGGTGCTAGAAACAGGAAAATGTCTAAAGGTAGCCGTCAGACTATGAATTTGAAAGGTCTTTCAATTCTTCCTGCTTTCTTCTCTCCAAGACCGCTGTCTTCAGACACTAAAGCAAGGCAAAGTGGAGTGGAGAGAGCTGGGGCTTAGGGGAGCCCTGGGTTGGCAGGTGGAAGAGGGAAATCTGATTTCTTTTTATTTGACAGGTAGAGTTATAGACAGTGAGAGAGACAGTCAGAGAGAAAGGTCTTCCTTCCGATAGTTCACTCTCCTAATGGCTGCCACGGCCGGCGTGCTGAGCCGATCTGAAGCCAGGAGCCAGGTGCTTCCTCCTGGCCTCCCATGTGGGTGCCGGGCCCAAGCACTTGGGCCATCCTCCACTGCCCTCCTGGGCCACAGCAGAGAGCTGGACTGGAAGAGAAGCAACCGGGACTAGAACCCGGCGCCCATATGGGATGCCGGTGCCACAGGCGGAAGATTAACCAAATGAGCCACGGCACCGGCCTGGGAAATCTGATTTCGTGTCTTAGTTCTCCCATGTGCCTGTGCAAATTTCTGTGTCTTGACTGTCCAGATTCAGCTGGTTCAGAGTGGATCAAAGTCCAGGTGAGGGCAGCAAGCTTTTCTGTAAGGGCCAGGTAGGAAATATTTTATGCATTGTAGGTCTGTTGGGCTCTGCTGACACTGTCCAGCTCTGCCATTTCAGCATGAAAGCAGTCATAGGACAGTAAATAAACAGATGAGTGTGGATATGTTCCCACCAACTCTTGACTCTTGACTGTAGCTTGACGACCACTAGGCTAGGCTAGATAAGAAGAGCTACGATGAAAAGCCACAAAGCCACGAAGAAATGGAAGCCCATTAACCAGCCTGGCCATGCAGAAGTCTGTGGTGACCTCTTACACGCTTATAAATAGTTAACACAGAAGAAGAAGGTTAGTATTGTAGAAAGGAATGCTTGAGCAAATCATTCTACAGTAAAATCAGGATTTTCAAAATAAATTTAATGATGAAGATGATAATGCTACTAGGCCATACTTTTTTTCATTAAATAGTGTATGCTTTTATATTTATTAGGTAGCACAGTGCTCAATGAATTTTTGGTAAGTTAAGGCCTATTCTCACCGGTACTGTTGGACATTCCTTTAGGGGACCAACAAAAGGCTGAGGTGCAAGTCATACACTCACTGGCTCCTTTTATTTATGAGGGTAGGTAAATTGCAGCAGTGGGGCTAATGCAACAGCAAAGAGTAAAAGGCCCCTCAGTTAGTGTCCTTAGATGTAAAGTTGGTAGCTAAAAGACAAGGCGAATAAGGTAAACCTATTGCATGGAACTTGATATGCCCCAGCAGTACCACTAGAGGGCGGAAAAGATTCATCACTAACCTAAAAAGGCAACTTTTTGAAACTGAAGTGTGTGCATACAGTTTTCTGTGCAGGAAGAAATAACTAAAGCAAAGTTAAACTCTGGGTAGAATATATCTATATATAAGCACACACAAACACGTGCACTTCGAAGGAAACGTAGGTGCATTTGTTGTGCTGCCATGAGTTATAAAATCTTGCAAAAGTCTTGTTCCATTCCTCTAAATCAGGGCAAAAACACTGCACATGAATATGCAGAGATAAGAACGATGAGAAAACAGAAGCGGCTGTGACTGCTGCCACCACCAAACAGATGGCCAGGCTTGGCCAGCAGCCAAACCAAGTCCAGGGTGGAGAGGGCTCAGCCGACTGTGAACTGAAGAGGCACTTTGATTGACTGCAAAGACAGCAACGCTTCCCAAGCTCGGCTGTTCATTGGAATCACGCAGGGCGCTTTATAAAGTGCCAATATCTGGGTCCTACCTTCAGAATTTCTGTTTTAATTGGCCCATGGTGCAGGTGAGATATTTAGAAGAACCTTTCAGACGATGCTAACGTACAGCCAAGGTTGAGAGTCACTGAAGTGGCGGTGGGTGAGGGGTGGTGGAGGGCAGTGGGTGCCGGACAATCACTGCCACCATTCAAAGAGGTGATCACAGTGTACGCAGGTTTGTACGTGTCTTCTAAGTCACTCATGTCAATCCATGGGGAGAATGTCCCTGTGCCTTGGTGTCAGGCCTGTGATCAGAACCCCAGTGCCCCCGGCCTTTCCTTTCCTGGGCGAGATCTGAAGTTGCATGCAGGAAGGGAAAGGGAGTGACAAGGTGACTGATTCATTCGGGTTTTCAATAAATATTAACTGAGCACCTAGGATGTTGTGCTGGGTGCTGTGCTAGGCTCTGGGGAGCACTGGCTCCCCTGGGAGGGGACTGGCAGAGAAGAAAAAGTCCCCCTCATGAGGACAGTGATGACTGGGCCTCCTTCCTTTCTCTCTATGGTGGTGGCAAGGTAACAGTCACTGCAGCCATGACCTCGGATAGGAGTTGAGAGCCTCGTGTTTTCAGAGCTTGGAGCCCTGTAGGTGAGCCCAATGTTTCTGTGTCCCCAAGCGATCTTACAACATGCCTGATGAGTAGGACTCTGTAACTGCTTCATCTACCCATTCACTCACCCATCAGACATTAATTTTGAGTGCCTCTGTGTCAGCCGCTGCTAGACACCAGGGATTCAGTGATGAAAAACTGAATCCCATTGCTGGAGTACTTCCAGTTATGCAGGCAGGGGGTTATAACTCCCTTTGTAGAGTGCATGGTGGTGGGAAGCACAGGTGGCCACGGGACTGGAGAAGAGGGGTGTTTAATCTATTTAACCCAGGCTGGTAGAGGTGATAAGAAATGATTTCTGGGTGGCCAGCACTGTAGCGTAGCGGGTAAAGCTGCTGCCAGTAGTACCGGTATCCCATATGAGCACTGGTTCAAGTCCCGGCAGCTCCACTTCCGATGTGGCTCTCTGCTACAGCCTGGGAAAGCAGAAGATGGCCCAAGTTGTTGGGTCCCTGCACCGGTGTGGGAAGACCTGAAGGAAGCTCCTGGCTCAATCGCACAGCTCCAGTCGTTGCAGCCAACTGGGGAGTGAACCATCGGATGGAAGATCTCTCTGCCTCTCCTTCTCTCTCTGTGTAACTCTGACTTTCAAGCAAATAAAATAAATCTTTAAAAAAAGAGAAATGATTTCTGGAGAAGATAGTCCTTTATCTATTCTACCCCCTCCCCATCTCTGGGGATATGACTAAGTTTCTCAAGGTTCTTGAAATGGCCCCAGTAAGCACCTAGATTGTATGTTTTCTGGGGTGGATTGTGACCCCCCCCCACCCCCTCTCCACGCCTGACTTTATGTTGGCTAGTTGAGTTGATTTACTCTACTGATATGCATTCTGTATCTCCCTCTTCCCAGTCTGGAAAATTATATCATCTTCTTTCTGACTCCCCATGAGAAATACACATCTATCTTTCTTTCCATTTTAGTGTATGTGCTGCTGAAGTAGCACAACATCTATCTTAAAAGCAAAGGCCTGCGGCTATTCTTGAGT